TAATGAACAGCATTGGGCATATTTAAAACTTAAAAGAAGTGTAAGAAGTACTCAGCGTTTTCTTAGGAAAAATAAAGTTTTCACGATAATCGCCTATGTTCCAGAGAGGTGAAAAATAGCTGTAATTTTGAGCAATAAATTTTCATATCTTATTTATCTTAAAAGTTTACGTAACCACCTTATTTATATAAAAGGAACTTTTCTTTAGTCAATTTTTATACAGATTTCCATTAGTGTATAGCTGTGTATTGAATATCGTCGAATAGAGTCTGGCATTATTTTCTTCGTTTTCAGTGTCTTCATTGATAAATTGCGCTTCTGTTTGACGTTTACATCAAAACCTTGAAAATATGATGTATATTTAAAAAGCAGTTACCGAAAAAATGAGTTTTTGGATATTATTTCTTATGATGATGGCCATGTGGATAATGTTTAAAAATGCCTCAAAACAGCAAACCACAGTGTCAAATGAAGAGAATTTCCGCAAGATAAGTTCCATAGTTTTATTCCTAAGATTAATAAGAACACTCTCTAATAGTTTACCTCTTTAAAAATTGCTTTGATTAGATATTCGGCTGACGAATTTCTGTGTATATTTACTTTTTTCAAGGTAATGTCACGATGAAATTGGAGACTTTTGACCATTTCTTTAATTTACCTGAAGATAAACGATTCAGTTTGACTGGAAATAAAAGACATTGCCTTTGTCTTTATAATAACTTGTTTTCCGCATATGTGGATTTATCCCTCGATCCGTTATAAGCTTGTGAATGCAAAAAAACAGGCCACACACTTGGCCATATTTTGAAATACTTATTATGTTTATGTCTGTTCTGTTTCTAAATAACACCTAAGCGGAACATATATTTTATAAAAAAGTATACTTCTACCTGACGTACATTCAATAAGACCTTCTCTACATTACCTTCGCGAAAACATTTGCGGACACTTTGCTTAAACGCGAAGGTCAGTGGTATGGTTTAAAGCAAGTGCGATGCACTTTTCTGTCACTGGATTTTGTGTGAAACACTACACAGGTTAGCGAAACCTAATTTTTAAAATATAAATCTCAAAATTTTTCTGCAAATAAATGCGATTCCTTCAACTTGGCTTCACGTGAATCTGAAAAATTTTGGACAAACATTTCCAGTTTTGGAAGGACTATCTTCTATACCTATTTCACTTATTTTGGAGTTCCTCCATAGTATAATCAACATTAATAAGCAGTTTGGTTCTGTCTCTCGTAATAGCATAGGAAATTCCTTTGATATGAGATTACTCCCAATTTCGCTTAAATTAATGGCCATTTCTCCTAATAAACCTAAACAAAATTATGATTTTCCTAACTAAAAGGCTTTCGCAGAATTAAATCAACTCAATGAATGAAAATAATATTACCAAATATATGCTAAAGTAAATTTCATAATGAAAGTTGCATGGTCTTTAGCGACTACTGCATATCATTCTCTTAAACTACGAGACAACGATCTCGCATACGATATAGGATTCAGTTTTATTGGTTGAACACCAACAGATGGCAGCACACGCTCAGTGCATGCTGCCGTGGTGGGCAGAGTTTTAAATTCTTTATACGTGTCAGATCGGATCCTACTTGACAGTGTGTCCAAAAATGTCCTTTCTCTCTTAGATCGAAGATTTCCGCAAGCGCCTCAAAGAAAAAGAGGGACTCCTTGAAAAGAAGACAAAACTCCTGGGGACAAATGCCACCAGTAAACGTCAACTTGAAACAGAAGTCACGGAACTAAAAGACCAAATTGATCTTAAGGAAAGGAAGATCTCCCTGCTGCAGCGAAAAGTTAGTTATTCTGCGTTATTTTCTGAGACCACTTCTTATGAATTGAACTGAGGTTATAGTTATAGTGATAGAAGTTTCATGACTAGACTGAAGAGAACTGCCAGACGGAAGTGACCTGTTGTCAGAGCCCCGAATAACGGTGGCTCATTTTGTTTTAGGGTCTGAGCTATGTCCGGAGCCCGCCTGTGACGTGCAGTGAGGGGCTCAGCGGAATATGAGCAAAAGACGGGAGGATGGAATGGACATTTCTAGCTTGTTTATTGTTTATGCCTTGTCATGTGTAACCCCCGTTTTACCACGTGTCTTTATACCTTCAATTCCAACGAACAGGTTGCGTGATTGCAATGTTACCATAAGAACCTTAGAACGAAAGTTAACTAGGTCCGGGTCTAAACAACATCTTTCCCGTTTGAAATTAAGTATACCTGATGAACGTTTCCCCGTCTCTGTCCGTGACTCTTGTAGAGCGTATAAAAGTAGAAAATAATGGGAACAATTATTAAAATTTTAGTTGACCCAATTGTAAAAAAACTCGAGGCGTTCGGCATGATTTGAACCCGCGTATCAGAGAAAGCCTTTACGTGCGGCCAACGCTCTAACTGCTAAGCAACAAACGCCCCCACCTCGCGCCATGAATTTAATATTTAATATTTTATTCAAATATTTGCGCGTGATAATTAAAAAGAGAGATACAACTAATGGGAAAGAAGGAAGCCTAATAGTGCCCTGATGGGTACAATCGTCGACTCTATATCCTCTCAATGGAGTTGATGTAGAAACAGTTTTTAAGCCACAGTCGTGGACTCTATATTATCTCTATATAGAGTTGATACAGAGTCGTCGGTTGTGTCCAGTTGGGCACTAGTAAGCCAGTTAAATTATCGCGCGCAAATATTTGGTCACTTAAATTAGCTGTAGGGAACTCTAAATTAAACTTTCACCCTCAGTTATCCCGCTTTGCCTTGGGCCTCATTTCGTGGGCCCTGATAGCAGCTGTAGCAGCTAGTAGTATACGCAGAAAGTATTGCCGACAAAGACAAGGGAGACTGCAATGGCCATTTCTGGCTTCTAAGGTGTCGTCAGCCAGTCATATCCAGACTCAAATGGTACTCCAGTCTGGGTTCGAACTCCTAAATTTTTTGATCAGAGTCTAACACTCTAACCATTTAGCCACGAGCTCGGCGTCTTGCCAGTTTAGGCCGACAAATCCTAACACTAGTTGATTAACTTTCACCGATCGCTAACATCACTCACTTGTCCTGCGGCTGGTAGTCTAGTATTGTCAGATGGTGCACCACTTTCGTTGGGGTATGACTGGCTGGCGATGCCAAACAAGCTATAAAATGTCCATTCCAGTTTTTCTTGCCTTTGCGGGCAATACTATCCATTTATCTCATTTCCCCGTAGAATAATACTTCCGACAGTAATACGCTGTTTGGTTTTTATAGATGGAGGCTGAAGAATACACCATAGAATGTTTTGCCTACAGCCGCGAATGACGTGTCTGCATAAAGGGTTATGGTAGCATTTCTCTCCAAAGTTTTCTTTCAGCCAAAATTCTAACAAGTCTTGTCCCATTTGCAGATTGAAAATTTGGAGGAATTAGTGACCGAAAAGGAATCACAGCTAGCAGGCGCAAAGTCTCGGCTTTCGCGACTGAACACTGAAAAGACAGGCTCCGACGGCTCCAAGGCCAACCTCGAGGAAACTCTTAAAGAGAAAGACCGACAAATTGAACGGTGAGCTTTGGATTACGTTTTTTTGTACAGCAGTTTAATGATCAGTTAAACTGACTTTGTGCGACCAACCTATCTGGAAAATGCTTCGATCTTGCCGCGGTTACCAAAGAAGTTTGTGAATGGCTAGCATCGGCGGTTAAGTTTGTGCTTAAGATTGGAAATAGCGTGATAGTTTAATCCGATAATCTTCTGGCAGTATTCAAAACTGCTTTTTCCTCGGCAGCTGATCTCCGGATTGCCGTCACAAACCAACCATTAAATCGTCAGCTTAAGGGTTGGGCAACATTTATTTTTGCAAAAAAGACTATTAAGTATAGTTTTCATTTTTCGACGTCCTTTTTTGACACATGTTCCTACGGACGGTTCGGAAGAAATTTTCGGATAAGCAAACCAAAAATCACAGATGAGTTCAAGTAGACCAGTGAAGCTTATTGGAACATTTGCCATTTTCTGATAACAGCATTTGCGCGCTTGATGAAACTGTTTGTTTTAAATGAAACCTGTCACCTGCACAAACTGCGAGACAGACACCTAGATGAGACCATTACTGAAAAAGAAAAGAGTTCTATGTGGCTCAAAAGTGCACATATTGCGTACATACGGAAAAAGGCAGAATGATGAACGAAACGAGCATTATTTGTCTTTCTGTGTCCTCTGCTTTCCATTTTCGGATTTGTTTACATTCCTCTAGCGAGATGCATTTCAGGTTACTTGCTCATTCTGAAAACGTGACCTACTTCCTGAGGACTTGGTCTTTTTATCCCTAACAGGTCTTCGTGGACTGTCTTCTTTTTTAGAGCAGGATGTCGCAGTGCCTCATGATCGTTTATTTAAATAAAATCTCTAAGGTGATCAAACCCCAAAAGACTACTTCCCCTCCGAGTGATCCAAGCTAAATCATTGTTTTCGAAAAATGCAAACTAACAGTTATCTTAACTATGCAATCAGACTTTATAAACGATGTGTTACGTCTGCTGTCATGGTTTGCAGAAGTATATTTTTTCTCGTTTTGCCAGTTCATACCCGGTAAGACGCAGGATGGAAAAATCAAGAAACCAATTGGAATTTGTATAAAAAGGGCCATTATATTTGTACTTTGATGCATACTTCGCTCCTTATAACTCTTAGTCACACACCCTCACATTTACCTACCAACTTTAATATGAATACTGAGGTATATAAATTCCTTGTCCACTAGTCAGGCACGCACCATAGGGACATTAACGTACTAGAAAAAAAACTAAAGTGGGTTGGTTTTTCACAATCAGTTACCGGTGGTCAACAGCAGCGATAACCACATTTGATTATGACGATAACCCTTTTTATCACAATGAAATGATCAGATATTATTGACAGACTTTGGTGACAATACGCACTGCTAAAGGATTAAGAAGTCGGAGCCTGTTATGTGGTGAATGGTTTAGGCTAAAATCCGAAGCTTCGGGTAAATATTGTTCATTCTCCAGCGATCGAGTCCCTCGGTTGCACGGTCATGTGAAGTGGCGGAAAATCATGGTGACAGACCGGGGGCAGGATAACCAACTATAATTCTGGCAAGGTTTATAGGCTTGGCCTGCTTGCAAGGCAGAAGTAACCACATTAGTGATTGCCACCTGATGAAATTGTGTTCGCAAAAATCGTGCATGCGAGCTGGTAGGGGGCGCGTATCATTACTAAAACTCTAAAAATGTATATTTTCCGTTTAGCACGTGAGCTCTACATATCTAGTGTTTTATTTAAGTCTAACAGACGATGAAAAAGAAGTCAGCGTGTGTCAGTAGAGTGTTCCCGTCATCGTTTGTAAATCTCTCTCTGAAGAAGGAACCAAACAATCCACAGAGGGCTATTGGCTTTAGAAAGTTAGGATCACGAACAACCGCACTTTATTTAGTCGGAAAGCAAATGATTTTTAAAGTGCTGTTTATACACGCCGAAATGGTTTCTAAGCCTGATGGATCCCCGGGAGAAAAAGGAGTCATGCTAAAGGTCTACATGTTAAAACTGCAACTCTTATTGCACCAGTTAAGCTGTCCTTGCAGGTTCGAGATGGCATATTCTTGTGTGTTGTTCTTCGTTCTTCACTCCTACCACTTTTGCTTCCACGAGACACTGGAGAAATTTGAGTCCCGGCAACAGTCTATTTCAGGGAATATCACGGAAACCAAGACCCACAGAATTCTGTAATAGTGGGCCAGTAGCAGTGATAATTTATTCTTTTTTTACTTTAAATTGTATAACTTGATATATTTATTATTTTAATTAAGTCGTCGATTATCGCGCGTTTGTTTGTTATTTATGTTTACTTTTTGTGATAAGTTTTGACACACTTTTTCTGTTTTTGTTTGATATATTTCTGTTACTATCTCATTTGGACCTTCGTAATGCCCCACCCGTATTACTCTCAGTCCCATATTACAGAATTCTGGAGTTTTTCGTCTTGGTGGCGTTACCTATAATGGGCTTGGATCAGGCTGCCTTTTTGTTGCGTTGCGTAAACCATAAACACTATCGCATGTTATTTCATTTCGTCTTATTGCAAACCCCACGTATTCTTTGCTGCAAGCGCTTGCGCTTACTGTTTACTAAACCAGTTGCAATCTATGCCTATGAGATGCGAATTTTTGTGCTTTCTTTACACAAGCCATAATAATCCTACTTTTGGATATCGTTTAGCATACAAATTAGGGTAAGAGTCTGCTATAAGTACCATCATAGAAACCAAAACCCCAGAATTCTGTAGTACGGTATCGATGGTGACGGAGATTATAAGAATGAGGCATTGCGGGTGGCCCTGGGAAGAAAGTAAAAGGTTGGGGGTTCGAGCCTCGGGTAGGGTACCACTTGGGGTTGGGTATGACTAGCTGCTGACGGCTAATGAGCCAGAAATGGGCATACAAGTCTCCCTAGTCTTTGCCAGCAATGATATCTGCGTAAAGCACTAGCCGCTGTGCGGCTACTGGCGGGGCTTGAGTATGATACCTAAGGCAGAGTGTGACGAGTGAGTTCCGCTAGCGACCAGTGAACGTTCATCAACAAGTGTTGAGAGCAAAATTATGATGAATTGGCTGAAATCCGCAGGCGTTTCGTTTTGCCTTCATAACTATCTGTCCTCTTCCTTTAGCTTTTGTTTGTTTACTGAAAAACACTGTAAGTAGGCAGCTGTTACTGATCCCTAGCATTCACATTTATGTTTGTTTACTTTCTGAGTTCAAAAGTATGCCTTTTCTCAAATAGTAGAGCTTCGATTTCGGGGAAGAAAGGCTTGACTGAAGAGGAGTAGACTTAGTCGCTGGAATGGGAATTATATTCGCCTACCATTTCAGGTTCGTAGTCAGAGAAAAGATATACTATTGGGGAAAGATTTCCTCATCAAGAGGCTGTACTTTCACGTGCAAATTCGGCTTTTGCACAGTTGTCTCTTTTAGAAGGTGCTGCTGGAAACCTACGGTAAACACAAAGGCTTAGCTTTTAGTAGATATTACGAAGATTGCAACTGATCACTTTCCTCAACCTGCAGCAGTTTCATCCTGACATTCACGGGAACTAATGTAATCCGGGCCTGTCCGCAGTCCCGGTTAATGTGTCCATTTCATCTGCTCATGTGAAATACAAAGTCATGGGAGAAATGGCTGTGGCAATGGTCTGAGTGTTGATCAGGCGCCGTGCATATTGAACAAGTTCAAGATCACGAAATTAGTAGGATTTAGTGACATCCTATAATTCCACAACCTCCTCTTCAACTGCAAACAGTCATTGTCTTTTAAAAATATAATTAACTTTCCAATCAAGTGTTAGCCTAAAAGGTTGAAACTTGATGGGTAAAGAAAGTATAAGCTATTAGTCCTAGATGCTGGCGCCTGGTGAGGGTGATAATGTATCAACGGGATAAAACGAAGGCTTCGATGCTCTATTGAAAGAACTTACCCTGTCTTTAAATTTTTGTACATAAGAGAACAACGGCTATTCCAGTACGACCGACTAAAGGCATCCTGCCTAATCACGTCACATCAAACTGTGTTTACGAGTTGACATGTAGTTGCGGATATAAGTATATCGGGCGGAAGCAAAGGCAATTGGCAAAGCGGTCAGCTGAATATATGCCGAAGTGGTTGCTCAGGGCGGAAAATAAAATACTTAAGAGTTTGATCACGAAACCCCTAATGGACACTGGCCATACTGTCGACAAAAAGACTGTATTTAAGGTCGTACTTCGGGCGACGACCGGGCGTCTCCAATGATTTGCGGAGGCCGCTGCATTACAGAGAAGAAAACCAGAACTCTGTATGCAACAGGATCATGTTATTAATCTCGCATTGCCGTCACTCCCGCGCACGCCTCCTCGCCCCTTAGGACTGACTGCCACCCTATCCTCTGACACCC